TGTTTTCGTTAGTTAACCTGCCATATCAGCAAAAATTTAACGGAGGGACTAAAAAGGGGCCGGATTTGTGAACAGTAAGGACCAAAAAGGGGATTATTTCGGTACAGGGACCAAAAAAGGGTTTTTTCCTATAGTAGAGGGACCAAAAAGGGTATTTAACCAAGAAAGAAAGAAAGCCAGAACATATAGAGAAGAAGGGTGGAGATGAGGAGCAACCGATTGGGTGAACTGGTGAAGATGGTGCGTGATTTGGGTTAAGAAAATCAAGATGATTTTCAGCAATTTCAGGCGATTTTGGGTTCAGCATATTTGGGCGATTTTGGGCAATTTTAGGCATAGGGTTTTCTAGTGAAGATGGTGAAGATGGTGAAGAAAGAAAGAAAGACTGAAGGTTGGTGAAGAAGATTGAAGAAGAGGAACAACTGGATGGGTGAACTGGCGAACTGGCGAACTGGTGAAGACGGTGAAGAAGGGCATGGGCTTCATTCTGTGGTTCAGGGAAAATGACCGTGAGGAAGAAAGAAAAGGAAATAAAAGAAAGCATTAAAAAAAATGGTCCCACTTGTCTAAAAAAATTAATAAACAATAAGTTGGATCTTTGACCGTTAGTAATTAACGGTCAAAATTAACAGAAGTGTGGATGGCATCCCATTAGGGATGACATTGAACAAAAAATGTGTAGTAGAGGGATGACATTTATACTGTAAGGAAAGTAGAGGGCCGACATCGAACATTTCCTTAGTAAAGGGATGGTAACGAACAATTTCACAAAGTACAAGGACTACAGTTGGCTTTAACCCCATCAAAATTGCATTTCAAAATTCAGCATACCAAAAGTTGTGAATACAAGGAAAAACTTGTGCTGTACTTTTTTTTCCTTAAACTAATTTTTTATCCTACAGGATTTTTATTAGCTAAGGTTTTTAATGAGGCAGCCATGGTCGCAAAATCTTTGCCATAAAAAGATGGAACCTTTTAAAGGCAAAGATATGAAAAAGCTATGCATAATTTGGAGTCAAGTTACAAATAGCAAAACCAACGTGAAAATGAGACTCAATAAGTTTTCGTTACCCTCAAACTTCTTCATTGGGGGGCAAATGTTATATCCTAAATTAAGTCTCATGAGAACTAGGACATGTGGAGACATTCTAGAGATAATCTTATCAAAGTTGAGTAGGATAAATCCCACTACAATAAGAATACCCCAATCACCAATCAAATAAAATTGTATTTCTAGAATAACTGTATTTAAGCATCCTATAAATACCTCAAGGATCAACCTAAAGAGGTAGATTATTTTTCATCTCTATTCTCTCTTCATTGTAAACTCTCTCTAACAATAAAGATCTCGGTTCCACACCATCTATTCTATTTTTTAGTGTTAACAAATATTATACTAAATTACAATATTAACGATTATATTAAGGGAGACCTCTTAATAATAAAGGAGAGATCTTTTATTCAATAATTAGTATTTTGCAATCCACTAATACTAAATTCTTAATATCACATGCTAGAAGTCTCCTCTAAATGAAGACAACTCAACTTCAAAACTTCAATTTTAAGTCTTCAAATGCAAAACCTGAGAAGTTTTTCTTTTCTCTTACTTTTATTTTACATTGAGGACAATGTTTGATTTAAGTTTGGGGGAGAGAATAACTTTTAGGCATCCATTATTATGTTAGTTTGCATTCATATTTGCATAACATACATTTTTTTTTTTTTAGAAATTACGGTTTTTTTTTAGGAGTTGGTCCAATTAGTGTCAAGGAATTGGATATTCTTGAGTTGAAAATTTTAAAACTTTTAAAATCTTTAATTCTTAGAGGAGATACAAAGTCTGAAAAATAGCACCATTGTGATGAAGTTTAAGTTCATGGGTATTCTATTCTACTTGAGCACAAGTTTGCAGTGAGAAGTTTAGAGAGAAGACTTAGTAGCACCTAAATAGCACATAAAAAGAAGAAGAAGAAGAAGAAGAAGAAAAAGAAGCCAATACAAAAGAGTTTATTAATTTCTACTCCAATGTTTTTAGTTGCTTAGTAACTGGAGGATAGGCATGAGACCCATGTCAACTTTCACGTCAAACGGTGACTTGAAATATGAGTATGCAAAGCACTTTGAGTTTATGACTTATTGAGTAACCGGGTCCTTTCATCACAAATGTTAGTATTTACGTCAAAAGACAAGTGATGGCTTAAGGAAGAATATGCTGTTTGGCTAAAAAAAAAAAAAAAGAGAGAGGGAGAAAATAATAATAAAAATAATAATAAGTGCTAAGGTGTAAGAGTCTAAACTTGAGACTTCTTACTATGGCTTTCCACAGACACACTAAGTGCTCATGAGTTAAATCTTTTAACAAGTGGTGTGAAGAATAGGATGACTATTTGACTTTAAGTGAGTATATAAAAACTCTTGAATATTTGAGACTTTGTATATAATTGAACTTTAATTCCTAAATTTTCTTTGCATGCATATCATGTAGTTGCATTCTTGCATTGGGATTTTGTGGATAGATCCGCTGAAAACCCTCACAAGACACAATTCGTCCACTAGGGTGACCTAGGGGTTTAAAGGCTTGTTGCACATGCTAAGTGCAATCATGATTCCTACGAAAGTGAGTTAGGTTTTATTTTTGTTTCTTTTGTCTTTTTATTTTATTTGAGGATGAGCAAAACTTAAGTTTGGGGGAATTTGATGAGTTGAATTTGTATACATATTAATGTGGGATTGTTGCCTTGATATTATTGATATTATGAAATTTTACTGAGTTTTAGGAAATTTTACATTATTTTCGTTCTTTGTGCAGAAAAGGACTTGAATGCATAAAAGAAGAGTTTTGGGGATTAATTGAACATCTTTTGAAAGTTGAGGCATTGAATTGCAAGTAGAAGGGCGCTTCTTGGGGACCTTAATGAATGAATCTTGAGTTTTGGGATCTAAGTACTCATTGTAAAAAAGCTGAGGACAGATCTGCTATTTTACCATTGAAGAAATTGCAAAAGGAGGCCCGAAACTTGACACGAGTTTAGTGTCACGCATAATCGAGGTGTCAACACCATGCATTAATCGTCCAGAATCAAACTTTCTATTCCCTATTTTGTGTCGACATGTAATTTGGCGTGTCAACACCACACGTTCAGCGTGCAACATTTAAGTTTCATATTCTCTTTCAAATCCTAATTCTATTCTAATTAGGGTTTCTAAAACCTTATAAATTTTCATCCAAATTTAGAATTAAGGGAGTTTGGAGGAGACTGGTGGCAGCCCTCGTTTGGGTATTATTGGAGATCAAGATAGAGATTATATCAACAATAGAAAATCAAGGAGTTCGATTTCCTCAAATTGGATTTTTTTTTTCCTTGGATTTTTATCTATTGTTTGATATTTGAATGTTCATAACTATGATTTCAGATTTTATTGTTTTTATTATTAACTAATTTATTCTACTAAGGTTAAGATGTAGCCTAATCAATTCAATATATATTTTGTGATTTTATGCTTTCAATTAAAGTTATTCGCATGAGCAGTTTATATTATTGAACTTAATGCATTGGAAGCCTGATCATCTTTCAATTGATTTAGTGATTTATGCATGAACTTGAGAAAGAATTGCGTAGATTAGATCAATAATAATATAAACCGTGTGCTAAACTATGAGATCGAGATGTAATATTTAGTAATTTATGCATGAACTTGAGAAAGAATTGTGTAGATTAGATCAATAATAATATAAACTGTATGCTAGACTATGAGACCGAGAGGCAATATTTAGTGATTTATGCATGAACTTGAGAAAGAATTGCGTAGATTAGATCAATAATAATATAAACCGTGTGCTAGACTATGAGACCGAGAGGTAATTAGCTCACATGTGGTAGTGGAGGAAGAGAAGAGAGTTAGGAGCTCCCCCTTCTTAAGCTAGAGGTTTCTATAGAATTTAATACTCATTAATTTATTTAAAATTCCATAGAGATATGATTAATTTAACAAACTAGTAAATGATTAACTTGACTTGAGAAAGCTAGTTAATTAATTTAGGGAATCCGCCATCACATGTAATAACACTTAATAAATTAGTTTTGAAAGTATATTAATTCAGAATTTATATTGATTGATTATGGTGAAATCAATGCCTTAGTACTTCCTATCTTGGTTAGGTTTATTTGTTATTTTTTATTATTATTTTTAATTAAAGTTTCTTCCTATTTGATTGTTCAAATAAATTTAAATTAATTATTTTGATACTTAATTAAATACAATCCTCGTGGGTTCAACACTTTCTCATCATTATACTACTTGAAACGACTAGTCCATTTGTTAAGGTGATTTTAGTGCATCATACTACATCAACGTAACAGTCTCTAAGCACAGTTAGCAAGTACCTAGCAAGATTACTGAAACTACTGAAATCTGGTCAATCTTTTCATGGCCAAAGCAGACATATTTAAGTGCAAATATAAAGAGTACTGAAACTAGGAATCAAATTTAAGGTAGTACAGCAAGGGCTAAAAATGAATGGCAAAACTGTAACAATTGGGGAAAACTTAAAAAGGACAAAGAAAGCTCTAAAAGTTCCCTCTGTAGTTGTCTCAATACACATGCAATTGTTGCAACATGAGTTTTGCTAAATCCCCCAAGGTAAACAGAAGGTAGCACACAACAATAAATGCAAGATTCACAGTTACACTATTAAATTTTTTGAATAAGTGAACCTAATGTGGATGAAAAAAATGAAAAATACAGTTTAATGTTGATGATGCACCAAAAAAAAAAAAAAAGAGAGAAAAAAGACAAAAGAATGCAAAAAAGGAAGATGAGTGTACTCTAACCTGAATGTCGGTCCTTCTTTGGCGATTCTGAGAAGATAAAGTAACAGAGAGTGCGGCTATAGTTGATGAAAGTAAGTCTCAATTGTTGTTGATGATGATAGTGTTGCTGAATGAAATTTGAGAAGAAATATGCAAATGCAATAAATTGAAATACATATTACACAATAAAAGCAAATACAATTTCAAGTCTTTTTACCACAGTTTCAAAGTCAACATTACACAGATAATAAAGAAACAAACTTTTCCAGTTTTCCACTTAGAATTTGACATATTTAGACATACAATACATACACAAAAAAAGAAAAATGAAGAATAGTAAGTTTATGATAAATTGAAAATCGACGGCAACAACAACAAATGCAAATGTGATTTCCTCCGACTTTCTTGTGGTTAGAGAGCTGAATTCCAATTTTGCTGCCTATGGGGGAGAAAAGAATAAATGAGAGAGAAAGACTTATTAAGATAGAAAGAATGGGAAAAGGAAGCATAAAGATAAAAACTCTTACTGAGTTGAATTAGAAATAGAAAATTGAAGATAAAAGGCTTACCTTTGCAGTGTGCCCTACTACAATTTCTTCTGATATTCACAGAATTGTAAAAAGATGTTTTTTGCATTGGGATCATCCCATTCCAATGAATCCCAGCATCCTTCTGGGAGTACCACAATTTCTTTGAGGGAAGGATGACAAGATGATTGGCCATTATTAAGCAAGGGAAAATTCAAAGGAATCCTCTTTAGCTTCTCACAGGAAGAAATCCTCAGACTTTGGATGGAATTACAAATCAAGAAACTAGAGTCGCTGCAGATGCTCTTCAATGCGGGCAATCTTGTCAATCCCAACCTTTCTAACTTAGGTAGAGTGACTTTTCCTTCTTCATGTGCCGATGAAGATATCAGCTCCTCCATTTGTGAACATAGTTGAACCTGAATAGTCTGTATAGATTCGAAGTAGCTGAGTAGCCATCCAGATGAGAATACCTTCTTTAACTTATTACACATATAAACACTAATTTCTTTAAGAGAGAAGCTTGTGGGAGGTTCAAGTGAACCAAGACCTTCTTCATCAAACACGGATTTCAGATTCTCTAAGTAGGAAAGGTGTAGATATTCAAGATTTGGAAGTGGGTTGAACCCTGAACAAAAAATACTCTCCATATTTTTGCAATGAAAAATTTCAATCTTGTTGATGGAATTACAAATCAAAGAACGACTGTAGATGCTCTTCAACTGGGGTAATTGGGTCAATTTCAAGCTTTCTAACTTGGGTAGGGTGACTTGTTCTCCTTCTTCAGATTCAGACCCTATTAGCTCCTCTAATTGCTTGCAATAACCAACATCAATAGTCTGTAGTTCCTGAAGATACTTCAACCACCTAACTGAGAATAACCTTTTTATTTTATCACAATAAAAAACACTAATATATTGAAGGGAGGAAAATGTGCCGGTTGGTAGCAGTGCTGATTGAGCAATCGATCCTATTTCCCCAAACACCGCATTCAAGTTATCCAAATTCCAAAGATCTAGCTTCTCAAGGTTTTGAAGTTTCCCCCAACTTCCAATCATCTCCCATTGGAATTTTGTTTTGGTATTTACTATTAAATGTTGAAGTTTGGAGAGATTTTGTAGCAGTGCATCAAGTGTTTCTGATAATCTTCCACCAAGACCAAGATATTTTAGATTTGTTAACATGTTGAGGCCTTGGGGCAGGTCTTCAATTGATGTCCAGGAAAGGTCCAACTTTTTTAAGCCTACAAGGTTGGATAAAGACGGTACCTCTCTTAAGGACTCACAATCCCTCAGCAATAATGTAGTAAGCTTCTTCAATTTGGACATAGAACTCGGTAGCCTACTTAGCTCAGGATTGTAAGAAAGATCAAGAATCTTGAGCTCAAGCATATGCTGAAAAAAAGCTTCTGGAATTGTTGAAATTTTGTTATAGGACAACAGCAAGGTTGTGAGCCTAGGACACTTTGGAGATGGCACGCTTGAAGGAATTTCTGTTATGTTATTTCTCATTAAAGAAACCTTCAAAAGATCTTCTCTCCAGTCACACTCCTCTGGTAACTTTTCCAAGGCCATGCCAGATTTCACCAAGAATTCAGGGTTGATTTTCAATGCCATGTCTCGGACAAGACAATGCATGCTCACAGAACTTTCTTTTTTACCCAATTCCAACAAGTAGTTTTCAACCAACTTATCGAGTATCTCCTGACCTTTCCAATTCATGGCCTCCCTAGTATACTCTTCTTTATATATAAGCTCCTCCTCAATCCAATACTCAATTAACTCCTCCTTTGAGATTTCATAATCTTCAGGATACAATGCACAGCATAGAAAACATTGCTGGTGTGGTAATAATTCCATGCGTTCATAACTGACTTTCAAACAATTAACAATGCTTTCAGATTCACCAAATTCAAGAAGTGCCAACTTCCAGTGGCGAGGAAGTGATTTTCCTTTCATTGATATTGCAACTGTTACAATAGCAAGGGGCAGTCCCTTACATTTCTGCAAAATTTGCTTCAAAATTGGCTCTATCTCTCTTTTACTTTTGCCATCATTTGAAAACACATCACTACCAACTTTCTCCAAGAATAATGCTGATGCTTCCTTATCTGGAAGAGGATCCACCTCGATCGCCTGACAAGCCTGACAATCCATTTCACGAGCAATATTTTGTAACCGTGTCGTGAGCACTAACTTGCAACCATTATTTCCAGCTAGATTAGGAATTCCAACCTCGTTTAAAGAGAAAGGCTCCCTCACATCATCCACAATTAGCAAGAAGCTGCCCTGCTGCAACTTTTGTGCAATCAATTTTGCAAGGTCAGTTTCATTCTCATTATCCTTTGGCTCTAATCCTAAGCTACTTGCAATCATTTTTTGAAACTTGAGAATATCAAACTTCTTTTTATGCTGAACAATAATGTCAATGTCTTTTGACCCTTCTACCCAAATAACTTTGCTAAATTTGGGTTCTTTCAAGAGTTGGTTGTGGACATGCTTCATAATTGTTGTCTTGCCTACACCGCCCCTTCCCGAAACAACAATTCTTGTAACCTCGTCTCCCTTCAACCATGTCAGAATTTGATCTATTATATCATTCCTGCCACTACAATTGTCAACAAGGAATGGAAATCCTTTGATTGAGTGATCATCTACGACCAAAATCGCACCAGCATCTGTGTATTTTTCTCCTTGCATAAATATTCGTTCATTCAGTGATTGAGTCTTCTTATCGAGCTTTCTTGATGAGCAAATATATGTGAAACAGCCCCCTTTGCAGATTAGATCTTCAACCACCTTTTCTGCAGTTGCTTGTTCTGCATCCTTTAGCCAGGCTTCAACTTCTTGCTTTGCAATCTTCCCACGCGGCCGAAGCTGAGTATGCAGTTCATCCGCAACGTCTTTCCCTCGACGCTTCAGCTTTGTTTGCATTTCTTTGAATTCATTGACATAAGTATTGTGACATATTTGATACTTGACATATTTCTTAACTGTAGGTGCAACATCCTTCCCAATAGCCATCACTGGTCCTATGCCGTCCATTAGAGAGTTCCTGCATGCATGAAATGGTTGGATATAAGCTAATTGTGCCTTAAAAACTTAAATTAAACAAGGATAAGAATAAAAGTACTTCGGAGAAAAACAAATCGAGTTGGAAATTAGTGGTGGAAGTACCACAAATGACTAATTCAAGTATTTGGTTTTTATAAATTTGGTAATTATTGAAAATCAGAATTAAAAATTGAAAATTTGTTTAAAATAAGTTTTAACACTATAAAAACTATGGACTTGTTTCATAGTATCAATTTTTTTTTTTTTTTTGCTCTATAATCTTACCAATAATTTTTTGTTTAAAGTTGTATAATTTATAAAAATCAAAATAAAAAACTGAAAAGCACAGCCATAATAAATTGAGTTTAAATAAATTATGACTTCGTTTATGGACATTGTGTTGTGCTGTGCCATTGTCATAGGTTTTGTTGTCTTATAATATCTTTAAATTATATAAAATATTATTTAAAATTAAAATATATATAATTAAAAATAATAATTTTACATTTTTAAATAAATTGATATATGAAAAATATCTGTTAAAAATATGAATATATGAAGTATATATATGTTACATTCCCATCCCTTCCCCCAATATTTCCTATATTTGAATATATATAATTAAAAATAATAATTTTACATTTT